TTTTCAGTGGGAGTGGGCTATGTGTGCCAGATAAGAGTTCCCACACATAGTGAGAGTCAGGGGCAGATCTGAATTCACGTCTGCAGTGGGAGTGGGGGGGGTACCAGATGAGTTTTGTGTCTATAATAGGAATGGGGGGGTCATCATCAGCTGGGACGTATGTCTGCAGTGTGTGTGTGTGTGTGTGTGTGTGTGTGTGTTGGGAGAGGTAGTTAGGGTTTGTGTCTGCAGTGGGAGTGGTACCAGCTAGGGTTCATGTCTGCAGACAGAGCAGGAAGGGCACCAGTTGAGATTCTTGTCTGCAGTGGGAAGGGGGGGGCATCAGTTAGAAGTAATATCTGCAGTGGGAGTAGGAGGGGCACCAGTTGAGATGACTATCTGCAGTGGAAATATGGGGGGTACCAGTTGAAATTACTACCTGCAGTGGGAGTGGGGGAGTGGAATTCAGCCCTAGATCCCCTTGTAACTTCAGCCTACACTGCCTTTTGTGATTCAGTTTCTTTGGCCCCCTAAAATGCAGGTGATGTTCACCTACCCTATGGGTCTATGTTCCTAAAATGCACTCATTTCTGACCTCTTGGACGATGAAGAAAGTTGATGGAGGGAACTAAGCCTGCTTCAGTGATTGAATTTTGGGGGTGGGGAGTGGGGGAAGGAAATCAGCACATTTTCAATGTTCCTGTCGTCAGAGTATATCAAATAGCCTGCAGGCTCTCCCTCAAGCCAGCCTGCTCAATTTCTGATTCAACTTGTCTCAGGCAATAGCCTTCCAATGCTAGTTACTGGTAGGTTTACTTATGGGAGGCATACCACAAACTGCCTACCTAAAATCAGCAGTCTTATCTCTTGGAGTTTCTACCCATGAAACAACTTAACAGCTGATGGAAGTGGTTCCTGGCAATGGCTTAACAAGCAGAGTTAATCAACTCTACGGCTCCTTGTAATGCTCATTTAAAGAAGGAAAAAAAAATCCTGGATTCCTGATGCTACCATGAGGATTAATGAGATAAACATACTGGAAGAAAAGCAGCACATAAATATACAGGATTTTTCTAGGATTACTATTATTATTATTATTATTATTATTATTATTATTATTATTATACTACTACTACTACTACTACTGTCCTTGAGTGTGGAAGGATTCAGTATTTGACAGGTTAATTGCCTGCACTGGGAATCCAGGATCCATCACTGTGCCTCAGTTTCCTCATACCTGCCAAACATGCCTAATAGATGACAGAGAATCTTTTTTCCCCTAAGCTCCTTTGAAAAAAGGGAAAGTTGAAAGGACCAGGTAAGAATCTAGGGTCTTTTAGGGGACAGAGTCAATGCTGTCCTGTTCAGCTGGCTCAGAGTCAACCCTGACCTTTGGGAGGCTGGCCTATCTCTTTCCAATAAAAATGATTACAGGTTATTCCATGATTGTATGATTGTTCCCCATGAGTTTTTTTTTTTTAAAACCACAGTCATCAATTTAATACCAAGCAGGACTAAGTGGAAGATTTATTAGGGCTTTTTACTGGTAGGCTGGAATGACCTGAAAAGAACTTTTCTTTAGGCAAAGTCATTAACACCTGATAAAGTAATTGATACCTCACTAATCCCAAAGCTCCCAGGCTGTAGTTCACATGGGGGCATTGGAATCTCTGGACAGTATCCTAGCCATTTTAGGAAGAGGAGGAGTGCCACATCAGGCCACCTAAAAGTACACCCTGGCATATGCCTAATGGCATCCTCATTGGGCAGGTTTTTTTTTTTAACTGCGGATAAAATTACTCCCCCTCCCCCCATCAAACAGTACATTTTATTTCCTTAGAAAATAGTCACTGCCTCACTGTAGCTGAGGCACAGTTCTACTTTTTATTTTTAAATAAGCCATAGCTATATTATACTTATGAGAAGCAATGATCTCCTCAAAAAAAAAAAAACACTGACAAAAAAAAAATCTGACCTTTGTGGTCTTTTTTCTCTGCCGTAAAGAGCCATATGCTAGTAACAGTAGACTCAAAATGGGTTGGGTGAGGGAGGGTAGGTAGGAGAAGAGAGAGATAAATTCATCTGTTCAGAACTTAACAAGGTTGCTGCAGGTACCACAACACCCCAACTGAGGCAAGGCTGCATAGACTTGTGCACCCCGGCTGACATTTGATAGTTTTAACAAGCCAGAGACTACTACCTCACTCTAATTACAGGATCAAATTACATGTCGAACATGTACGGTAATTTATTCTTGCTTGATATATGCCCTAAATCCCAATGTTTCTAATCCTATCCCACCATTTCTTTCAAACCTGAAAGAAAAAAAAAACCCACCTTGTTCTGCCTTTAAATTACTGTCCTGGCAGCAAGCAAGGCTAGAATGCAAACTCAAATCTGCATCGCCATCAGACTACCTGGGAAAGATCCTACCTGGAAAAAGTAGCCACTGTCACAGCAGCACACACTGTGGCTTCGGATCACCAGAACAGTGCAGTAGCAGCCCAGCCCAACCCAGCCCAACACCATACAAACATTCAAAACCACATACCCTTCTTTCTAAGATGCTTTGATTACTTTTTCATATTGAGAAGCAGGGTGGATAACATAAGCCTACCGGTCACCAGGATGAATTACAAGTCCAGTGGAATCCAGACAATGAAGTGAAACATATACGATTTAAATGTCAAGTTCTTGTCTAAATCACGAAGGTACTTTCTGTTGGAAACCAGAGGTGTGGGGGGTGGGGGTAGGGTGGGAGAGGAAATCGGTTGCTCCCAGCTCCAGTCACCCGGTCTGCAGTAAGCCCCCCCAATCACCTACCTACTATCCCATTCTGACACCCTTTCCTCTAAAAACTGCAGTTTCCCCCTAGCCAAGCTCTAATTCCTGTATACCCTGCAGCTTATGAAAATCCTAGAGAGGACAGACATATCAGGAGAAAAAGGCACTATTTCTTAATCGCTTTGGGGATCAGCCGAACTGCTTAACACAGGCAGAAGTGAAACCGGGGACTCAGCTGCCACAAGTATTACACTCCAGCCTCCTTTTTCTTTTCTCTCCTTCAAAAGATCTTTCCAACAAACAACTTCGCATTTAACATTGCCATACAAAAGCTCACGTATTATATTTTCCTAAGTCTTCAGCCTAAGAGGACTGAACGTTATTGGGTCATGCTTTTCTCCCCCAATGTCTCATATTAGCTAGTTTTGCCAGGATGTGCTGGCTGAGCACTATTGCGGCATGTGTCAAATCTGACACCCGTGGCTGTAATTTAAGAGGTCTGATGCGCAGAGGTCTGCAATGATTCAGCAAGGAAAACCTATGAGAAGGCAGAACCTATGGAGAACTGGGATCTAAGTGTGTGCCTGGGAAAAAGGGGAGAAGTTGCTGCCTCGCCCGACTGGACCCTTTCTTAAGGAGCATCTACCTGCTGCCCACCCCCACCCCCCCGCATCATTTTGCGTCTCCTACGTGAGGAAATAAACACCTCCAGCTATTTTGCTCAATTAACAATGGCATGAGCACAACAGTACATAGTAAACACCACTTTAACTGGGCTCTGCTTCTTTGTTTCTAGGCAGACTACAGTGCGGTGGCAAAGCTGAATAAGTGCGCATGCCCTAGGAGATGTACAGAAAAATCTTTTGGCTCCCTCTCTTCACCCCTCTCACTCTCTTGGTAACTATTGTGCCATGGGAGTCTGTCAAGTAGCTTCTACTCCTTGGGGAAAGATAAGAGTGGTCAAAAATGGGAGCAGAAAAGCCAGCCCACAGGCAAAAAAGACTTCAGCGTGCCTAGGGGGGGGGGGGAGAGCGGAAAGGGTAAAAGAGAAAACTTAAAATGGGGGATGTTAATTTCTGTTTTTTTTTTAAAGTAGTTTCTTGGTTTGGATAGGTCGAATCAGAAGGGCGGCACACAGGCTAAGACCTCCAGAAGGGACCGATTTTAGCCCAAATAGAGAGCGGCTGCCCAGTGCTCATCGCCAGCATTTGTAAAGCAACCAACAGTTCCTTTCCTAAGTCTTCAGAATTGTTTCTGCAAGCCGGGTTGCGGGGTGGGGGTGGGGGTGGGGGCGGATTCAGCGCACTCACAAAAATGAGCAACCTTTTCGAAATGAAAGGAAGGGAAATGTTTTGACTGTGATTTCTGTCCTGTCGGCTGTGGAGCTATGTAATCTGCAGCGAGTCCCGGATCCACAAATTGAAGAGAAAGTTCGCCCACAAAGCAGCACTTCCCTAATAAAAGGCAGACAAGAATGAATGCCACGCAAAGGACACCAAGATGTGTCCCCTAAGACAGACGCAGGAGCCCCAAATCCACACAGTAGGTTCGCCGCCTCCCCCTCTTCCTGAGAGACGCGATCAAATAATCCACAAACCAAACTTTCACTACTCATTTGATAGAGCTGGTCTTTTCTTTCTTTCTTTTTTTTTTTTAAGTGAAGGCTCAGGAGTGGAAAAACTCCCTCCTCCCCAAAATCACTTTCTGAATATCCCTTAGAATCTAAAAGCGTCATCACTCTTTCCAGGTCTCAACAGTGTTTTGTTTGGTTTGGTTTGGTTTGGTTTTTAAGAAAAAGGAGGAAAAAAGCCTTGCCCCGTTTGCTGAGCCGGAGCGCAAAGGAAGAGCGTTGACGAGGAAGCCGCTTACAGTTTACAGCACTGCGTTTCCCCCAAAAAAAATGAGGAGGGGGAGAAAAATGTTTAAAAAAATGTTTAGTTGCGCAAATACTTTCTTACTGTAATGCCATACACTAAGCCCCCTTCCCGGCGTTTTGACAAAAAAAAGAGGGAAAAGAAAAACAAAATGTAAAGAGCCGTCAAAAAATCTCACCTCGTCAAAAGGTATATCTCTTTTGCTTGCAAAGAGGGCATGGCTATTATTAATATTAATATGATTGTTCTGATTGCTCTGACTGTTCCGGTTTTGTGGGAGCTCCCTCCGTCCCAGGGGCGGCTGGGGGGGGGCGCCTCTTCAAGAACTTTGCTCCCCAAAAGAAAAGTCCGATTGCGCCTTACCTTCCGCTGATGGTCAGGAGTAGGAGCGGCGGCTGGTTCGGCTACTATGGGGTCCAGCTCTCAGCTGCTGCAGCAGCAGCAGAAGCAGCAGCAGCAGCAGCAGCAGCACATGCCATATGTTAGCTGCAGAAGCAAAAGCAGCACTAAGCAAAGTCGCCCAAGTGCTGGGGGAGGCTTTAGCAGGGGTGCAGGACGGATGCCGCCATTTTAAAGCCCGGATTTGGAAATCATTAGATATAAGCAAATTAAAGCCCGCCCCACCTCCAGAACTTCATGACTGGGACGTACAAGCCAGCTCCAAGTATGCAGCTCTGGGGGATAAAATGTCAAGGCGAGAGCGAGCCCCGCGCCCGCCGCCGCCGCCGCCGCCGCCGCCGCCCGCGCGCCTCCGCCGCGCGCCTCCCGCGCCTCCAGGGCTCCGTCGCTGCCACCGCCGCCGCCGCGCGCCGCCGCGCCCGCCCTGGCAACAGCAGCCCCGGGCTCGCGGCCCCCCGGCTCGCGGCGGGCTCCCGGATTCCGGGGCGGGCCACTGCGCCCCGCCAGAGGCCCCCCGACTCCGCAGAGCTCGCCCCCTCCTTACTGTGCCCCCCCCCAGCCGACTTGGTTCAGTCCAGCCCGAGTGCACCTAATAGCTTCCAAGATCTATGTCGTACATGCTTGGAGCTCGGGCTGGCTGCTGCCATAGCAACCCAGGCGAAAGCCGCACTCCTCTCTAGCTAAATGCATCTATCAATACTCTAAGGTGAGTCAACAAACCAATTAACACAAACAAATGCACCGCTGCACTGCACGGGAAAGGAAAGAAAAACACACACATTCGCATAGACCCACACCCAGGGGCGCTCCCCACTACACACCAACAGGACCTGGGGGGCTCAGCACCGGTAGGGGGAGGTGGAGGCTCGGCGATCGGCGCAGCCTCGAGTCGCCAGCACAGCCCAGCCCGGCCCGGCCCGGCCCGGCCCAGCCCGGCTACGGCGGCTTTGCTTTGCCCAAACGAGCTAGGGAGTTGCGGGGGGGTGGGGTGGGAGGAGGGGGTGCACCATCCGCCGCCTTCCCGAGGCTTTCACCTTGAAGGGCCGCTGCTGATCAATTATTAAATGCAATAAAGAAATTCGCCGTCTTTAAAAGAACCTTCCTAGAGCCCGTAAAAGACCTGGGGGACGGCGACAAGGAAGGTGCGCAGCCCCAAAAGTAGGCACGCAGTCTCCTGCAGCTGCACGGCATGCCAGCCGGCAGCGCCCGCCGCCTGTCCGCCCGCCGGGCGGCTTGGGAGGGAGGGAGGTCCCAGCGCAGAGCTGCACCAGCCCTGGCACAGCTCACCTTGCTCGCAGCACCTCGCTCTGACCCTAAATTAGGCGAGTCCCAGCCCAGTTGGGGGAATTCGGGAGTCTGCCTCTTTTTTTTCTCTTGCTCTGTTTCGCTCTCGCTCTCTTTCGCTGTCTCTCTCTGCTTTCTTTTAGGATTCCAAAGCGGGGCTAAAGAATTACTCTGCCTCTCACACCTGGCATATGGACACATTTCATTCTTCCCATCGCACAATATTTCTTAACACATACACATATTCATGCAGTTTTCTTTTTCTTTGTGCACCGTTCCGGTGCGTCAAAACCAAAGCACTGAAGATCGTGTTTATTTCACTGGGGTGTGAGACTATTTTAAAATAAGCAAAAACCACACGATCTTAGCCTAGCCGGGGTTGCCCAGGCACTCGCTGAGTCTATTCCCCGAGGAATAAAGCCACTTCCTTGGTAAGCTGCAGCCTCAAAAAAAAAAATTATCAAGCTCATATTTGAACTTATTAAAAAAAAAAAGAGTTCATGCAGCAAGCTATACTTCCTAGGAAAAAAAAAGTTTCAGCACAATAACAATAACTAGCATAGAAATCTAGTGTTATAAAAGAGAGAGAGAAAAGCCAAAAACAAACCTGTCCGCGGGCTAATATTCATCTAAAATATAATCACAGTCATCTAAGAGATAGAAAAGAAGATATAGAAAACAATAGAAGAGACAAAAAATACAATTGAAAGAAAGATATGGATTAGAAAATAGATAGGAGATGAGACCACATACTCACAAGTCAGCTTACCCCCATCCTCTGCCTCTCTGTGAATACCCAAACCATTTTTCCCTCTGATAAGGGCTAGGGGGGCGGGGGCTAAGGGTGGGTGGGGGGAGAGGCTGTGCGTTGCAAAGTACTTTTGTATTAAGTGGAGCTGGAGCGGTTAGCCTCGAAATGAACTCCCCAACATTTTCAGAGAAAATAGAAAAACAAAGACGTGCAATATTATATTTTAAAAACTCACAACTTTACATCTATGCAGCTAGATGTCTTTAGACTGTTCAAAGTAATAAAGTATAAAAGAAAGCTCAGCTATCGCCTGACTGCATAAATATCAGTAATGATTAATACCAGTAAGTTGCCCTACAGGTTTTTATTATTATTATTATTATTATCATTTTTATTTTTAAAAAAATACTGTGGTCGTTGATAAGCATATATATTTAGGAATTTCGGTAGCGGTCTTGGAGAAATTGATGTATATTAACCCTTGGCTGTTTCCATGCTCTGAATTTTATTTCACCAGCCCCTTCTCTCTCTCAATTTCCACATCTGTGCAATGGAGGCGGGGGTGGGGGTGGAGGGTGGGGGTGGGGGGGGGGGGGAATCTGGGTGATCCTTTCCCCACTCCAAATACCTATGATCCTAGTACAAATCAGTCAGGCACACAAGCCTCCGAAAAACTCAAGCGGTTAAGGTTCAGAGTCCAATTCCAGAATGGCGGGTGATACTTTTCATTTGTGCTGTAGCCAGCCCGAAATAGAACCCCAAACTCATTTGAGGCAAGAAATCAATACCTGTTTGTTAGCGGAACTACACTGGTGGCGGGGTAATTACAGACGTGGGTGTAGAACTGGATAAATGCTGCCTTAAAATCACTAGGAAATCCTCTCCCCCTCCCATTTTAAAGTATTACAGAAATAATCTCTGCGAGACAATATGATAGAGCAGTATCTCTCACCTCCCCTAGATGGAGAGAAATGTAGCACAAACCACCTAGGACACAGAAGTTTCGGGCTCGTGGAAGCAAACAAAAATAAAGGAGAGGAGACTATTTGCTGCCTTCTTCTGTAACCTCACCACTGCCAGCCCTTACCCTCACCCCTATCCCCTACCCTCACCCCCACCTTGCCTAATGACCTGCAGAGTTCTCACAGTCCAATCCCTATCACATATGGGAAGTCATTTTGGCAATCCAGAAACCGCAGTCAGCTCTGAAGGAAAAAAAAAAAAGGCAAGGCTGAATTATATAACTTTATACACAAGGATCTAACAAATGAGGAACTGTTATCGCAGCAAGCCAACAAAGGACTCTTTATACTAACCCTAACTTTGGTTAGCACGGTTTTTTCCTACCTCTTTGCTGTCCACAACGGTGTGTGTGCAGCCTTCTCTGGTGGGAGTTTCATATTTATATATATATATATAATATATACATACAATATATACGTATATATGTATGTATCTACATACATGCTTATAAGCATACATATTTCTGAAGTTCATGTAAACCTGAGGCTAGTTCATTTTTATGATTAGAAATGCGATGAATGCAGACTCTCTGCATCATGAAAGCAAGGTCATGAATAGGTAATTTGCTGGCCACTCAACAGCCCGAGCTTCTAAGTTAGCCTCCTGCCTGAGGACAATAGACCGCTAACAATTTCATAATAGGCGCCAGAGAATAGGGGTCCTACTATTTTGCTGAAGGGAAGGCAGGCTGAAGTAGGATTGTGGGGGTGGGTCAACTTTCATACTTTTCTGATGAGCCAAAAGTAATAGCAGAATTGAGGGTGGGAGGGTGGGAGAGATTACTCCATTAAAAATGAAGGGTAAGCCTTCTGGACATACAAACTACTGGGTAGTTTTCAAGGACAGTAACAGTTCACTCCTTCTTTCTCCCAACACTGTAAGAAGACACAAAGGTTCTCTGGGGGGTAGTCCCAACCACGTAATTCCCTTCAGTTCTGGTAGAGTGACTAATGTAGTCTCTCCTCTCTCACTGCAATGAATTTGGGGTGCTAAGACAAATGCAGTCTTTGGTCCAATTTTCCTGTCATCTTATAATGGAGGAATACTCTGTCCTCCTTCCTTTTTGGGGGAATGGATCATAACATTTGAGCTTGAAGTTTCTTCCCCAACTTCTACCCTCACCCCCCCAAAAGCCTTTCTATCAAGTAGTCAAGGATCTGAACACAAAAAGTTTGGGAACACTGGGAGACCAGTTGATAAGTCCTGAGGCTGGGAAGATGCTTTCAAGTATGATAGGACATTTCTACTTTTCCAGTAGCAACTGGATTGTCCAAAACCACCACGAAGAAGTGTATGGCTAGAAAAGGAGACCCAATAGTCATAGAGTGACAGTGAAGAAAACCAGATCAATGGGTGAAGCTGAGACAATCTAAGCCACTGGGCATTTAGAACAATATGGGGAAACATAGACAAAGGTCTGTTAAGATGGACTGCCATGGACCAGTTGTGATCAACACTGATAGAAGAAACACCCAGGTCAGTGAGAGTATAGATCCACAAGAGCTGATAATAACATAGCTCTGTTTTGCAAAAAGCTTTGCATACATTATTGCATCTGATCTTCACAACAATCACCTGAAGTAGGTGATGTTTTATTACTACTACTACTATTACTACCACTACCACTACTACTACTGACTACTGCTACTCTGTTATTAGAGGAAGCATAGTACAGTGGAAAGATCACTAGGTCTGGAGTCAAAACACCTGGATTCAAATCCCCTATCCCATGGTTACTACCTGTATTACTTTGGGCAAGTCACTTCACCTTCCTGGGCCTCAGTTTCCTCAAGTGTAAAATAAGAAGGTTGGATTAGATGGCCTCTGAGTTCTAGATCTAGGACCTTATGTGGGACCTTGGGTAAGTCACTTTCCCTCTCTAGGTCTCAGTTTCTTCCTTTTTTAAAGTGATGAGGTTGGGCTAGATGGCCTCCAAATTCTCTTCCCTCTCTAGATCTATGATCCTGTGTTAGGCCATGGGAATATAAAGACCACCTAAATCCATTCCCCGCCCTCAAGGACTTACATTCTTCTTGACCAAGTGATGCCCTGGTGTAATTGAAAGCTTAAAGAGCTGGGGGAGGTTTCTGGAGCCTTGGGTGGAACCTTTACTGGGGATTTACCAGAAAGATATGGCAAAGAAATCACATAATGTAGGAAGGCATGGAGGAAGTGCAGTTGGCACCAGGGAAGGGAGTCTCTGCAATGATGAGCTCTCTCATCGGTGGAAGTCTGGAGTTTCAATCATAAAAATGGGAGATTGAGAAT